CACTTTGTTTCCCTCTGCGGGGTTAATCAAAAGGGAAAGAAACATCATTTCTCCTCTTTATGCTACCAAATATTTGGGCGTGCTGTAAAAAAATCCATTGTGTTTATTTTTTTTTCTTTCGATATGTGGGTAGCCCCATCTTGGGACAATCAGTCCACAAAAGGCAGAACTTTTTAAAAGTCAAATGACGAAGTTACAGACCTGAAAACTACAAAGGCTACTGTGTGGATTGTATGGGTTTATCCCCTAAGATGGCGGCTAAGGGACGTAACTTTTGAAAAGTGTGGATTGGACTATAATTAGCGCTGTAGTTAATTTACCCCTTCCCTCTCCTCGCATTACATGTACATGAACTTGTTTCTAAGAGAAGAGTAACATACTGTATATGTCAAATATAACTTAACTGTTATAAATATAGATCTGGTATATTTATAATGCACCATAGACAGGTATAACTTGAGAGTTTTAATACGACTGACCTTGCGACTATTAATGTAAGCTTTTTTTCTTTTGATGTAATCATTGATGAACTTATTAAATACCTCTTAAACGTCTTCTGCATTCCGTAAATGATATCAATCTTTGTTGCCTGTATTTACTACGTCGAATATTGTCAATTTTTACATTATTTTAGGACAGTGGATTAAAGTTAAACTTTTTTTGCTGATGAAACGCCTCGGTTGACAATGGTTTTCTCGGGGTTAAGATTTTCAATGTTACACTCAACTACATGCAATATTTATTATATTATACTGAATGTTTTATACAAATACATATAACAGTGAACCACGCTTGCATAAATTCTGCACAGTCACTATTTTTTAGAATATCACCCGTCGTCAAGCAATGTTGACAGCATGTTGCTATGCTGGAGGGCGTGGCTTCATTATTCAGCGGGTAATAGTGGTTTTTAACAAATGTTTATCGTCCAATCAAATTCAACTAATTTACATGAACGTATAATATTCAAGATTAATTTTATTATTCAATTCATTTAATTCTTATATATGTGAATGAAAATTTTTACAGTATTTCTCAAAAATAAATTCTTTTTTATTCAATTGAAATTAAGATAAGCCCACATCTAAAAAAAAAATATAGGAAAATGAACTCTATTTTTTAAAATCAATTTTCCACCCTCAATTTTTAAGTATTTATCGAAAGGCTTTATCAGAATGTTTCATCTCTAATATGATGAAGAACATACCCAAATGATTACAAAAAGATGATTAAAGTATTTACCTTCCCCCTCAAACTAACGAGAAATAGGTAATTTACTTGTGTTGTTTTTCTTCACGTTTTTGCAGTTACACAGCAGGATTCATTATTAAATGACTGTTTGGGGTTACTTTCAGATTTAAAATGTTTATCAAAAATTGTATTTTTCTATTTAAAAAAATCATATATAATAGAAAATTTGTAATCAAACACCAACCATAAAAAAACTATGAAAAGGAATGCATTTCATGATAGACATCTTTGACCCAAGACACAGTTATCAAGCTATCATACTCTTAACAACTGAAGATTTTTTTTAGGATTTTAGCATTCCCTCAAAATAATTGCATACCATTCACAAGTTATCACAATGCAATTTCATTACATGAGAAAGTCTTGGATTTGTCAACTTTAGGTCAAGATCTCTAGGAATTAAATGAAAGGTGCCTACAGCTTTCTCTTATTTGAGAACTGTTTTATGTAAATTATATATATAATTAGCTTTATAATCAAAAATATATAAGTCGATTACAGTACATGTATATGTATTAAGAATATTTTGGCATAATTTTAAATTAAATTCCATGAATTTCAAAATGTTTTTTTTTCTACAATTTCTATTGAACTGTAAAGTACGGGAAAAAGCAACATTAAAGTGATTATGACTTTATAATGGATCTAGCACAGGCTAAACACATGATGTCATACATGCACGACCTATGTTCTACGTTAAGAACACAAGGTAAGTTTAACTATAAAAGTTAGGAATTCTAGTTATACAGTTTTTAGATAGTTTTTCTATATTTGAACAATTTGAAATCACAAAATTTTACCAAAATGAATCAACAGCTTTTAAACTTCCGATTTTTCAATTTTATACACTACTATTTCCAATGATAAACTAAAGTCTAGGCTTTTTGATATAAATGACAGCTACTTTTTCAATAAAAATGGAACTCATAACTTTATTTATCTTGTCAATGGTTATCTGGAAAGTTATGCCCTGTTCACACGAAGAGTTTAATGCCCAGTAAATTAATGCGAAGTAAACTAATGCTAATCAAACTAATGCCAATTAAATTGCGTTCACACGACAGCTAATGCGAAGTTAATGCAAATTAAAATTTTACTTTTACGGTCAGGCGTCAGTAAGGCTATTATGACGTCATTTGCATATCACATCACCTTATGCAGAAGCAGATGTATTTGACATAATGTTATTGTGTTTGTACACACATTGTAGAGATTAACACAATTTTCCTTAGTTTTTCACTCAAAAATAGCACTAATACTTGAAGCTGACCACCGACATGTGGAATTTGACCTAGTTTTGCCTCAAAATTTAATTCGAATTAGCTTCGCTTAGCGCTCACACGGCGCTAATGCGAAGTAATTTAATGTGCAGTAAATTAAATTAATTCGAATTAAACCAATTCTTATTAAACCCCCCGTATGAATGCGGTTCAAATTTAATTTGCAGTAACTTACGTATAATTCGAATTAAACTCTCCGTGTGAACAGGGCATAATTTTGTGAAAAAAAATCTGATTGTACACACAAGTACTCTGAAGTTCAAAAAAGTGCATGAGTGTTTGATTGACAATATCTAATATGTGGTTTTTGGAGACAAGGTCTTCCAGCAATTTATGGGGATTCCCATGGGTTCCAATTGCGCCCCGTTATGAGCAGACCTATTTTTGATATTCATATGAAGCAGAATTTGTGCAAAATAATAAGCGTGAAAAAAAGAAAACTACTGTGGCCTTCAATTCGATATTTCGAAATATCGACGACGAATTGTCAATTAACAGTAGTAATTTCCATTCTTATTTCTATACTATATATTCTTGTGAGCCTGAGATAAATGAAACCACAGAGTTTGACACATCTTTTTCATATTTGGATATTTTAGTTGAAAAAGGTGTTAATGGTAAGCTAGCAAACAAACTCTATGATAAACGCGATGACTTTTACTTTTCTATCGTCAACTTCCCTTACTTATGCAGCAATGAACTTTCATAACCGTAATTGGAGTTTATGTATCTCATTTGATTCGATATGCAAAAGCATGTGCTACGAATGAACAATAGCTAAAACGAGGTAAATTATTGACAAATAAGTTGATGAAACAGATATCAGCAGTCTTGTTTGAAATCATCATTTTGTAAGTTTTATGGTCGATACAATGACCTTGTCAGTAAATACAATTTATCATTCAGTCAAATGCTGACTGACGTTTTTCATATTAATTGTTACTCTTATTTATACACTGAATTGACGTTATTTTTCGATCATGGCAAGAAACACATTGCGGGTGTGATCGGTCGGAAGTAGATGTTCACTCCTCCATGGCACGTGATCCCACCTCTGATGTTTTGAAGATCCGTGATTGCTCTGCTCCTGTTTTATATTGTTTTATGGTTTTTTGATCTTGAATACTAGTATACTTCGTCATCTTCAAATCCTTCATTAACATAAGTTACATACATAATGAAAATATGCATTTTATGAGCAGCAAAAGTATACCCAAGACTGATGTATAAAAATGGTAAGAGATTAAAAATCTAATTACTTGTTTAGAATTCTAAAGTGTTAATATTAAAGAAAAGTCTATATACAATATTTGTTAATCTAAATTTGGATAAATATGATTTTAAAAAAATCGTTTTATTCATCTTAAAAGTTTTTGAAATATTTTAATCTGTTAATTTCTGCTTCTTTCACTTACTATTTGTTAGGATTGTTTTTTTTTTTAATATTTAATTCGTGGTTTTTAAAATTTTTAAATGAATTTATCTTATTTAAATTAAAAATCGAGATAATTTACACCAATTCATATTGAATATCGAGATTTCTACAGACAGATTGTTCTATTAATTTTTCAGAGGTTATAATTTCACAATATAGTCTGAACTATATTGTATCTTAGACTACTAAATGATTTTTATCTTTTTGTACTATAACTTTAACCTACCTAATAAATGTCAACCTGATCAATAAATAGGGCCCAGGATGAAAAGGTACTTTTCAAGCTCATTTTAATTAAGTTTAAACATTATTTTCATAAAAAAAAAAAAATAAACTCATTGAACCATTAAATTTTCTACAAACATTTGCCTTAAGATGTTTTGATTAAACAAGGGAAATAATAGAAAAATAAATGCTGGATTTAGTGTATAAATCTGGCCAAAAGCATATTTACACATTTTACAATATTTTAATGTGAACTTGTTTTCTCTTTAAGATTCATCTTTCAGTTTTTAGATTTTAATCGTAATCCGATTATCAATTTTATCAATGTGTTTTTATTTAAACAGCTAAAGATAAATAATTATGGGCACTTGATGTATCATTGCTGACAAATTCTTAATCACTAGCAACTTGCAATATTTATATAACAAAATTATGCTTTAAAAGTACTTTTTCTATGAGTTTAATTCATAGTTAAAAAATTAAGCGACCTGGTTTTTAACATGCAAAATAAGTGAACTTGAAAAATACTGACCATTATATATTTTTTTTTTTAAATCAGCTTCCCATAACTTACCGTTCACATATCATCATATTGTACATGCATTCAAGCTCATTAAATGTTTTAAAAATATAAATATTACTTTCCGGAAGTAACTGATTTTGATGAACTGATTCGTTTTAAGGAGGAACAGGACCTTTAGCTGAAAAATTTACTGTCAATGAATTTTTTTCGTATTTTTTATATTACTAATTTAATATGTACTTAAGAGCCATTCTCTATAAGCACCAAAATTTGATTGAAAGCCATAGTCACCGATTTTAATAAAACTTTGGTAAATTAATACATACTACTAGTCAAGTATACTGGTATATGCAAAATGACGGGATACTGCTGTTTCCATGGAAAGCAGCAAGTCATACTTTTGTCACATTTGCTAGTATTTCCTTTATAATGTATGTAGCTGAAACTCAAAAACGCAGCGACACCATTTAACAAAACTAATCCTGTAAAAAGATTATAGATATATAAGTTGACTTTTAAAAAATTGGAGATGTGTTATTTAAAATAAAGAAAATAAAGCCTTGTAAATTTGCTGTTTTTCAAGAGAAAAGTGCTAAATTTCATCAAGAGTTATTTCCCTTGGTGTAACTCTTTTGTGTTTCCTGTGAAAAAAGGAATGTTTTTTGCCAGCAGAAGACTTTCAGATTGGTTTGCTGCTTCGTTTTTACTACAAATTCCACTTGTCAGAAGATGTATTTAATTTGAATTCAGCTGATTTGAAAAATAAGGACATAATACTAAAAGAATGTGGTATTTTGCGGTCCAGTTCTGAAAATAGGCAAATTTGTTCCACACATTTTTCTCTGCCGTTGAAACAAAACAGTGACTGAGTGATGAACGAAGAAGAAATTAGGTGTCAAGTGCCATTCCTTATTTTAAAAAATCTGGTGAATAATAATGCATTCCATGAAAAGTAGAAATCCAACAGACCGATCCCTGTCAATGGTCACAGGTGTACTCAAAATACACAGAGGCTAGAGGACTTGTTCTTCCTGTGAGCATGGTGAGTATTGTATTGAGTCAGTGTATACTTGTATGTGTAATGGAATATTTATTATCTTAAAGTGCACATTTCTGTCTTTGAATAAATAATAACATAATTAATGTTTAAACAAATGTTGATTGAAATTTGATTTTAAACAAATGAGATAGGGGATGCTTAAATGTTCAGCATATATAACTTTATTAAAAAAAGACTATATTAAAACAAGATTTGTATGAATTATATATCTTTTTGATTATCTGCTCAAATATACTTAATTAAATTTGAACTTTTAGCTCTATGCACCAGCCTGTCTTCTGAAGTTGAATGGTCAAACAATATGAAGAGGAAGAAAATCTAGCTTGCAATCAAAACACAGAAAATATGATCAGGCTTGTAATTTATTATTCATTATGCAAGCTATCATTCATAGTTTAATTTGTCATTTAGAATTTTCATAATAATAATAAATGGTTTAAAAGTAAACAGGAAACATATTGAAATATAAATGTCTTTAATGAAAAAAAAAAATTATACAAGACATCATCTAACAATGATTACAAGGTTACTGGTACATACCTGCATGGTCTATTGGAAATATAGTAATCAAAAATAAATTAATTTACACCGAATAATTTAATCTATTTGATCAAATATTTTAGCATTATATATGTTATGTGCATTTTACAAAGTTCAAGGAAAAACAATACTGTAACAGTAAACACTATGTTTTTGTCATTGCAGTAGAAGGGATACTTATTGTGCTTATTTATTCTAGGCTCAGTCACACCTTAGTGAACATGAAGAGCTACTTCATTCAAGGCCATGATATGTTATAACAGCTGATTCAATGAAAGCGCAAGGTACTAAATCTCCATGCCACACCAGAATTTTAATAGATCTTTTAAGGTAGAGACCGATAGCAATCACGTGATAGAAAGAATTCGCATATTTGCACGTGCTGTTTTTCCGGAATTCCGCAACGCCGTCAAATAAAAGTCTCCATTTACACATTGTTGCCCATGCTACAAGATGGCCGACGAAGCAATCGAGAAATTTCCTCGATTTAAAAGACAAATTTGACATACATATTAAACCTTTACGGTTCTCGAAATTGAAGCATCTTCATGAGAATCAAAATAGAAGTGAGACTGAAACCGACCATGAACAAAATTTTGGTGAAACTACTCCTTGTCCAGTGTCCACTGCAGCACCACGTGGGTACACCGGTATCGATCTGTACCTGATGTCGTTTTCAATATAGACATTAAAGACCATGGGCCTACAGATGTTAATTGGTATGACGGAAGAAGTAAAATTTTTGCAGAACAGATTTTTTGTTTGCTGTGTCCATGTCATATACATAAGGTGAATATTTACGACTTAGTATATCGATCATGACTAAAGTGCTTGATTGTTTACGCACAGGTCTGGTACAACCAATATATTTAGCTCCAATTACCAATAACCTACATAGATTTTTTTACTTCCTAAAGTTGTTTTATTTAGCTAAAAATTAAAACTTATTATACGACCAGACTGTAACTTTTAGAATAGAGGAACAAAACCAGACATTTCTGGTGTCAGAACATGATAAAGGCCGGATTGGTAAAATTAGCAAAAATGTAAAGTAATCATACTTATCTGTGCCTAACACACGAGGTAGTGTTTAGTTACTCAGATCAAAAAATGGAAAAACATATTTTGCTTAAATTGTTCAAATATGCAGAAATATGTAAACTTTCTCTGCTTTGGATGACAGCTAGGTTATAACCCCTTTTATAAATGATAGTGGACATTTACTTGCGAATCTTTTGTCTTTTTGAAATAAAAAGCAAACTGTAAAAAGTTGCATTGAAAAAAAAGAAACAACTTTAGGAGCAAGTGCCAAAAATAAAAAAAATAGGGTCAGTCGGGTAGCAGGAAACAAGACTATTTTTTTTTTTTGCCTTATGTAATATTTATGTACATGTATTGTTATAAATTTATGTACAGGTATGTATTTGTTGTAAGCTTAAAAGGGCCTTGATTATAAAGAGATAATGTATTCATAGATTATAAAAGAAATATTTAATGCTACAGGTGAAGCAAGGTATGGACTAGACAGTGTATTCAGCTTTCTCTGCTGAAATAATGTGACCAAATCAATTGTCACCTGGAAAGAGGAATGTCAAGGGTGCTTAACATTAACTCCAAGATAGCCATTGGTTTGTATTTTTTCCTTTCAATTTACACTTGCACATGTATCAGGGAAAATACAGAAATTTTTTTCAAGGGGGTGATAAAAAGGAGGGGTTTTATAATGCATGTATTATAAATTTAAATCTATAATTTATAATGATTTTTAATCCTTGTATTTTTAGCTCACCTGAGCCAAAGGCTCAAGTGAGCTTTTCTGATCACAATTTGTCCGTAGTCTGTCGTCGTTGTCGTCGTCGTCGTTGTAAACTTTTCACATTTTCAACTTCTTCTCAAGAACCGATGGGCTAATTTCAACCAAACTTGCCACAAAGTATCCTTGGGTGAAGGGGATTCAGGTTTGTTAAAATGAAGGGCCACGCTCTCATTCAAAGGGAGATAATTGGGAATTAATGAAAATTTGGTGGTATGTTTTAAAAATCTTCTCAAGAACCACTGTGCCAGGAAAGATTAAACTTAAGGGGAAACATCCTCAGGTAGTGTAGATTCAAGTTTGTTCAAATCATGACCCCCGGGGGTAGGGCGGGGCCACAATGGCCGACCAAAGTTTTACATAGAAATATATAGGAAAATTCTTTAAAAATCTTCTTCTCAAGAATATCAAAGCAATAATTGATCATATTTATATGGAAGCATCCTGAGGTAGTGTAGATTCAAGTTTGTTCAAATCATGACCCCCGGGGGTAGGGCAGGGCCACAATGGCGGACATTGTTTTACATAGAAATGTATAGGATAATTCTTTAAAAATCTTCTTCTCAAGAATAACAAAGCCATAATTGATCATATTTGTATGGAAGCATCTTCAGGTAGTGAAGATTCAAGTTTGTTCAAATCATGATTCCCGGGGGTAGGGCGGGGCTACAATGGCCAATCAAAGTTTTACATAGACATATATAGGAAAATTCTTTAAAAATCATCTTATCAAGAATAGTAAAGCCATGATTGGTCATTGGACTACTTTTGGATTTAAACTATTTAATTTTAAACCAATTTCTACTTTTTCCTAGCCACAGTGCTCAGGTGAGCGATGTGGCCCATGGGCCTCTTGTTTATTTACACACCATAATGTACATACAGTATTATTGTATACATGTAGAAGCATTTTCTCGAGTCAATAATTTCTAAAAGATCATATTAATATTTCAGGAAAGTTCAAGCCAAATCTGCTACAGCAAACTCAAACATAAAGTGGCATACATGTGACAGGAAACGAGGAATATGTATGTCTGGACTGAGAATCTAACGCAAGATCCCTGTATCACTAGTTAGGTGCTCTATTGACTTAAATACATGTATGGTTAAATGCTTGTGTATAAACATATAAAAAGACATATTGTAAATTGAATTCAAAACTGAATAACCAAAACAATTGTAAAATGTAGGTATTTTCTCCTTGAATGAAATTGTTTCAAATGAAGCACCAAAGAATTGATATGATAATGTGAAGAAGTCAGTATTGTTAAAAAACTTATAAGTGACATGGTTTTTTAACAATACTGACTTCTTCACGTTATCATAGCTAAATTTGCAAATTAAATCAAAATTATTAATAAATTATACACAAAAATTTTAAATAGATCAAGCTATCTACTTTATTTTTATTTTATTGTAATCATGTTACAGATCCCACGGAAATATAGGATCCTTTACTAATCAAGTGTCATCTGCAGTGTTACAAAAGAATACTGGATTTATATCAATAAGGTAATTAGGGACAAAACTGAATTTAAAAAATGGAATAAGATGTAAAAAGAAAACTATTTTAATTCCACATATAATAGTTATGTTGTTAAAGTTGTATATGAATTGATGTGTCACTGACAGGTACTTGTAGTTTTTTATTTGCACAAAACTTTATCCTTTGGTATTAACTCTTGAACAGTTATTGCTGAGTTTATTTATTTTTCTTTAACCCCATGATCTTGGCCTTAGAGTGTGGCCTACATTTAGAAACTAAAATATTTTATTCTTATATACCAAGTTTGTTTAGTTAAGACAATTCATTAATCCAAATAATTTCCTTGGAAGCAAAAGTGCCCAGATTAATGAGGCCAACTTTATATGCATTTGTTAAAAAAATTCATGACATTATATAAAAAGGTATCTCAGAAGTGTCTTATATTCATATAGACATAGTCATACTATATTTGCAGTGTAAGAAAGAAGTAAAACATGTATTTTCGTTCTTTTTGTTTTAAAATATTTTGTTCTTTTCAGAAAAAAAGAACTACCAGAAGGAGACAGTAAAGAGGAATGGACATATCACACCATAAGACATGCTTCAATATCTGAATATACAGAATGAAATTTGCTCACTGCAGATCCTTGTGAAAGAACACCTTTGTTGTATTGACATAAAAACAAAGAAATTGTCAGGATTCTTGAACATGAAGCAACTGGCTGCATACGATGGCAATATTAAAAATGCATACATGTTTACATTGATCTTTGTTAGCCAATAAGACAAAAAGCAAAATAGCAAGTTTATCCTATTACCATACATGTACTGAATGTATTCACTTTATTTTGTTGAACTACATCAAGAGTTTAAAAATTGTACACTATCATATACAGTTTATGGTGGGATTCCTCTAACTTTTATGAATCTGTTTGCAAAATCTATACTTTAAAGTTGCATATTATTACCTCTGATACATTGTATGTTTTCTTTGTAAATTATTACAGTATTTTTGTATGTATGAAATGATAACCGAATCACTCTCCATTTTCCCACACTTTTTACCGTGTGATGCTTCAGTGTATTGATATCTAACAACTGATGACCATGCCGTCTTCATTTAACAGTGTAATACATAACACATTTTTATCTAAATATTTTTAAAACAAGGATAACATGCCATATGGATTGATTCTGCATACAAAACTTCATAATCACTGGGTTTTCTTATTCATGTTGTACATGTATTTGGAATAAAAAAGGAATTGTTAAAAGAAAAGAGAATTTAATTCTATTGTTGTCAAAGGAAGATAATAAGACCAGTTTATTTATTTACAGAATTGGTCAAAAGATATTGTCATTGATAATTCATCCAAGAATCATTGTATGATAAATCTACAAAGTCAATTTGAACGATATAAAGGAAAGTTCTTATCTTTTTTAATGTAAGTGCAAAAAGGTCAACCAGGTCACCATGTATCCAGGTGTACATGTATAAATTGTTTTCTGTGGTATAGAATGTTATTTAGAAGAATATTACAAAGAATTTACCTATTTTCTTTGAAATATTTTGATTAATTCAATCTATCAAAGTCAAATTGAACGATATAAGGGGAAGTTCTTATCTTTTTCAATGTAAGTGCAAAAAGGTCAACCAGGGCAACATGTGTCTAGGTGTACATGTATAAATTGTTTTTGTGATATAAAATGTAATTTAGAAGAATATTACAAAGAATTTACTCATTTTCTGTGAAATATTTTGATAAATTTTTGATAATCTCTCTTAGTCACCATATTCTTCAAAAGTGCATCCTTCTAAAGGAAGGGGGTAGGGTAGGGTGTAAGATAATAAACTTGTTCCAGGATGAATTTAAACCCCATTATGTAGTATGATTTTTTTCTGAAATTTAAGAAACTTATAGACTAACTATAATATGCAATAAAAAAAGAAATTTGATGGGTAATTTTTTCACAGTGGAAGCAGAAGTGGGAGACTTTGTGCAATGAATAGGCAATATTTTAACCTAATTTGACCATGCATCTTGGTAAATGTAATTCTCTTTTTCGCTTACAATGCTTGATAAATTTAAGATTGATGTCAAATATTAATCCATATAGACAGATGTATGAATTCATATAAGACAAATGATAATTGACATAGCAATAAAAAATTTACAGCCCTTTTCATATCATATTCTTATTTTATTTTATCCTGCTTTTTCAGCTCTTCGGTGGTTGATGAAGGCTATATTAGAATTGTCGAATTTCTCTTAAACTAGCCCGATGACCTACCTTGAATTTTTGATATGATTTAGAACAAGGACTCAACACAAACATATACAAAATTCAGAAAAATTCAATGGGTAGTTTTTTTGTTGACCACCTATCAATCTCTACCTTAAGACATCCCTTTTAAACTATGCCAGTGTCAGCCTTGAGAGACCAATATTAGCGCTTAATCATTTTATTCAATTTATTGGACATTTTTCAGAGAAAATAATGTTTTTTGAAACTTTTATTTGCAAAGAAAATGCTTATGGATAAAATTTGGTGTTTATTAATAGGTTAAAAATATGGAGGTCTATATTGCATGGTTAAAATCTTCATAAAACTATTGTCACAACTAAGATGAACAATTTTAGTAGTCAGTAATATTTAAAAAAAAAATGAAATTAATCAGCAAAATATTTCAGAAATTTTTGTTGTTGATATTTTGACTAATTTTGATCAAATTTAAATAATCACATAGACATCATTTTGGTGTGGCCCCTGGGCCTCTTGTTTATGTATATTAGCTACTACTAAGAATTTCATTTGGTTGTCAAGGTCATTAACATTTTAACCCACATTACATACTATTTTATTTCAACATTTTCTTGTCTTAAAAGATCTATGAAACAAAATTATGATGAGGCATATTTTCTCAATTTAATATGCACTCCACTGTTTTAACCAGCACTGGTAAAGTTTAAACAGGAATAACAGATTTTATTTCAAAAGATATTTGAACCAATACACAATAGTAATACCCTCGCTCTGATGTGAATTAGAATATGCACTATCATGTTAATATTATTTTCACACAAGTTCAGTAACGGGCAGATGCATGGAAATAGTAAGATTACAGAAATGAATTTAATCCTGCCATATTGCATGCCTCAGCAAAGAAAGTGCTCAAGTTTCAATCATCTGCAATGAGTAGTTGCTGAGAAAGTTGCTATAACAATTTCTTTTGTATGATATGGACAGATGCACAAACAGGAAGTTGACATCAGATGGCATAACTCAGTAAAGAATGTGCAAAAATTTCAAGCATCTGAGATGAGTAGTTGCTGAAAAGCTGCCACCAAAAATTTGCTACTGACAGATGCATGGACAGACAGACACACAAGGATAAAACAATATACCACCCTCTCCTTTGAAGTGCATGGGGGGATAATAACTACATTCATTTATATTATAATACTTTCAGCTTCATGGAATATATTACATGTATTTTTAAATAATTTATAACTTAAGGTTTAATTTTTGCATATTTTATTCTTTTTGCAGGTTTTTGAACAGTCTCTGAAAATTGTCAAGTAAAGAGTCAGAGTGGTTGTAGATGCATGCACAGAAAATGAAGAAAAAACTCTACTGAAACCATGGCTTAGATATCAACCTAAAATAACTTCTCTTCTCAATTACATCTCTTTCCCAAGTATTCCAAAGGAGGATCTTTTTCAAATTCAAAGTCAAGTACACTGTATCACAGGGAGCATGTGAGATTGTGAAACAGTCTGCCTACAAAAATTAAAAGGGAGGAAAATATCTACACATGAACCAAAGATGGTTGCACACTATTGTTCTCTGTATATTTTCCCTATGGTTTTCATGTACAGTCTTCTGCGTGATTGTTAAGTTTGGTGTAGTAGTAGAATTCTCCTTACCTTGTGTAGAAGTTTTACAATTTAAATTCTGATATAAAATCCTGTTTTTAATGGGCCACTCTCCTTGTAAACAGATTGATGTCAAAATATCTCTCAACATTGAATACTTATCAAATTGTTTAACCGAATAAAAACGTATCATATTTCTAAAACCAGATTTGTTCTTTTTTCTTTTCAAAACAACCACTTTTTATGAAATGTGATGCTATTCAAAGAAATGAACAGTCTCAATGTATGTCCTGTGAAATATGGAAGCACTGGCACAGTCGTGGCTAAGGTTAAATGTGGGTCAGACTCCAAGGTAAAAAAAACGTATCATATTTCCAAAACCAGATTTGTTCTTTTTTCTTTTCAAAACAACCACTTTTTATGAAATGCGTTGCTATTCAAAGAAATGAACAGTCTCAATGAATGTCCTGTGAAATATGGAAGCACTGGCACAGTCGTGGCTAAGGTTAAATATGGGTCAGACTCCAAGGTCAAGGTGGAAAGGTGAAATAGAAGGTACAAACAAAGAGGCCTCACAAGAAACACACAAGTAAAATATTTAAGTCTTGGCACCAATAGTTATGAATATATTGTCATGGTTAATGCTTCTCAAAAGTACATCAACATCCAAGATCAAAATATCTATATTGTTTGTATGTTTGAGGAGGCCTTGTTGAATTGAATACACTTATGAAACATGAAGGTCCTAATAGTAACTGCATGCTCAAAAGTTATTCCCAAGGTTAAAGTGGGTCAAATTTCCAGGTGAAGGTCAAAAGGTAAAATATATATTTATAAATTCATATGTCCATGCAAAGGATTTGTCACAGTAATTAACGTATGAAAGCCCTAACACAAAATTTCACGCGTTGTAGGCAAGGTAAAAATTGGGTAAATTCCTCCAAAACTGGGTCACACTCCAACGTCAAAATATCAAATATTTTGGTACACAATGAAAAATCTTGAGGGAATACATAAATTATGTTGAATATAAAAGCCATAACCCCAACAATATAAAAGTTATAGATAATGATAACATTTTTGTGGACAAACAAACAGAATGGTTGAGAGGGCAAAAACTACATGTATATACCCATATTCTTTGATTACTGGGGCATAAAACATGTAAAACACATAATAAACATACCCCATAAAAACATCTTTACCAATTGAAAGAAAAAATTTTGAAAGCATTTCAATCTAATTTTGTATTTCCGCTGTCAAATGAAAAATACAGATGTATGCGTTAGTCTATTGTCTAAACAGCTGTTGAAAGACTTGTTGCAAAGGAAAATTCATCATGGATAATTCCATGGCAACTACTCAAATATTTTAGAATAAACTACGATACATATTTCTTTTCTCAATATTGTCTCATATGATATATATATGGGGTCTTGTTTGAATGCAATGTTTATTGTTACGATGTATCACCCTCTTTTTGATCTTAAAAAGACCGGTATTATTACTATGACTCACACGCATAGAACATTATACAGCATATTATATTGAATGAAAGTTTGAAAGGTTTCCATGACAATTAACTGTGCATGTGACAGTGATCACATTAACACATTAAGATTTTTTTAATGAAAGTATCAATTGAATTGATGTTGAGCTAATTGAAATTTTTTATATGAAAATCGAATATGAAGATCAAATATAATTATTTCTCTTTTTACAACAAAAGCATTATACATGGACATATATAGTTGCTATGACAACTAGTAAAACATATTTAAAAATTAAAATTCTGGATTAATATGTGATACATGTAGATTGATCCAAATTTTAGTTTTTCCAACATTTTTAATCCAATAAATATATATAAACACAAGTTAATCTATCTTGAAATATTTCTGATGTTGCCATGGCAACGATTTTGAAAGTCAATTATTTTGGATTTAAGAAAAAACACACCTTTTATTTTTTAGTATATTTTTCATTAAGTTCAAATTAACATTATACTTGATTGGGATGAAAATATGTCACTGCGTTTTTATTTATTTGATGCTCAAAAATGTATAAAAAATGCAATTTTCCAAAAATGGTCAATTTAGCAAAACATTGAGATTTTAGTGATTAAATTAGATACAATGGTGATAGACAAATGTAAATAACTTGCATCATTTTTGTTGCATTAAGTCTTGTTCTTTAGCATATATATTTATTTTATATTCAAATTTATCGGTTGTTTAATTATTTTTGTTTTAAAAATGTCAAAAACAGTGCCGTGAGAGGCGTCTAGGAGGCCATATTTGGGCCATGTATGGTTACCATGGTAACGCAACCCCCAATTAAATTTTTTTTGCTAAATTTCAAGAAAGGGTGTGGAATAAGTAATAAATATAAAATTTGATCAAAATCGGTGACATCACCTTACCCCCCATTATTGAGAAATTTTGGTTCTTATAGAGAATGGCTCTTAATATTTTAAAACGGTCCTTTAATGGGATTTCTTGACTTATTTAAAAGATATCGCCTCACAAATACCGCCATGTTTAAAGTGTGTTTGGAGTTTAGATACTTCATGTTTACGGGCCCATAACGGAGTCCATAATGCGAATTTTTACGCACAAACGTTCAATATGATAGATAAAATCAATACTAAAATATTTCATAATAATCATAGTGTTTAAATTATCTAAAAGCAATTGTTTTAATTTTATACAGTATTTGGGTGGGATAATTTCTGCATTTTTCAATGCAGCTTCAACGACAAAAACCTCATTTGGAAAAAATTCTGTCAATAAATATTTCTAAATTTACAGTCTTTCATAGTAATTATTTACTGCATAAATATCACAGGGTGTAGCTTGTCTCAGTATCGCACAGGACATCGTTGAATAAGACGTAAGCATGATAAAAACAATTCACGTTTGTATTTTCCGAGTGCGGAAAATCAATTGTGACGTCACACGAAAATATGAACATTCAAAATTATCTAAAAAAGAGAGAATTTCTGCTACTGAAAACAAAAAAATATTAATTTTAAAAAAAATCTGCTAGAGTAATGTATCACGATACATTGACTTTGACCTGTTTATTATGAAATAAAACTGATCATGACGGGTGTGTGTGCTTGATCTTGCTGCACTGAGAATTCTAACACTACATCTATGACGTCACTGGCGGCAGACTGCAGGGTAAAGATAAACAAATGTGTGGATTGGGCAACTTCACAATATCTGAATGATGGCAAGGCCCCGCTTTCACGGTCTGTATTCGTACTGAAAATCAAAATCAACTGAGCTTTTGCCCTTTTACTCTACGCGAGGTTTCCGTCCTCGCTGAGCTCACCTTAGGACACCTGCGTTACCGTTTGACAGATGTACCGCTCCAGTCAAACTCCCCGCTTAACAACGTTTGACATGTATATCATCACCGATTATGACGTGGTATGTCTTTCTAGTCATGTGATATGTGTCCTGTCTCCCCTTAAGGGGACGAAGGATGTATGGTCACGTGACTTAATTTAATTACGTCATAATCTCTGATAAAATATGTACAAAACCAGATTGAAACGACAGTATTTGGCAAAAAAAAATGACTGTTTGTTTGAGTTCATCATCTATTATAAAAATATCTAAAAACATTCAAATTTTCTTGCAAATATTTTTAATTACGAAATAGATTGATCCACTCTTCTGTTTCCCTACACTGCGCGTTCAACGAGTTGCTGACGTCATAATGGATCATAGTACAGTAAGATTATATACAAGGTAAAACACGGGTAGTATAATATCATAAAAACGGGTCATGATCAGTACATAGTCGGATATTTTATGAATTACAGAACATAAAAAATATTTTTACAGGGTTGTTTACGGAAATATATTGTAGTTATGTCTTACTTAGCTTATTTCGCAAATGTGTGACGTCATAGTAGGGTTTTCCTGTACTCGAGAAATGTAAACATGACACGTTTTCTCATGCTCATATCTTGTTTATCTTTGCCCTGTGCAATATTGAGCTCAGCTTCACGAATCGATATTTTTGCATTTTATCAATAACACGAAGAACTTGCATTTCGACGTAATTTTTTAAAAATTGAATGATAGGATTTTTTTTTTTTTTTTTTTTTTTTTTGGTCGTTTAAGTTGTTTTAAAAATAACGTAATTTTCCGTCTCCAGATGCGGTGTGACAAAAGAATCCTGCTTTTTCGAATTTTTAACCATATTCATAGTCTGAAATATTTTAAAAGACACATGTTCGCTGACATATTTTTAATCTATGCTGAAAAAATTCCTTTATGAAACGAGTAATGGGCCCAGAAATACGGAGAATCAAAACTTCAGTCAGACACTGTGGGGCTAGTATTTGTCACTCAACATCTCAGCAATAAATCTAGAAACCTATTGATATATCTGCTTTAAGGTATGTGGTACATACTAAATAAGAGACATACAAAATATGAAAAAAAAAAATGAATGACAGGTATTTTTTCAGCTAAGGTCCGTCATCCCCTTAATAACTGTTTTCTTGTTTCACGATTAAAGAATGTTTTGCAAATTGGTCAATTCAATTACTTACAAACTTCAAAGGGATCCGAAGACTCCAGTAAAAACATGGATCTAGCGTCCATATAATTGAAAACAATTGAACTGTGAAACGTACCGCTGTCTTCCATTGTGGGTGTGTGTGAGGGTGGGGGGGGGGATTAGTACAGAGTGAGATCAAAATAAAACAAACCTACATACTTTTATAAAGTTCTTATTACACAATTTAATTCCAAAATGCCAATGAACATACTCATTTTTTACTCATGATACATCTATCACTTGGTTAAATTTTATTGAGTACGACAATAAGACGACCACTTATTGTGTGAAAAGCTAAAGAAATATGTTAATTTTGTTTTTTGCTTCTGTTAGGGCATAAAAATGTTGATTTTTTTTTTTGGGGGGGGGGTAAAAACTGGCAAGCCATTTCAAGAAATTAAAAAAAGATGAGATCCGGTGCCATGGAGCAGAGAGCATTGTTAGTTGACTAGCCATCTTCGCAGTGATCCCTATATATTTCCTAGGTAGACTAGGCATTCCATAGTCATATTCAGTGTACAAACAAAAGCCTAACAGTTTTTATGAAACAATGGCATCTTACAAAAATTGATGACAAACTTAACAACTCTAATCTTCCC